CCTGCTGACCCAGAGTGGCCTCTACCTGTCTGGGCGTCTTCCTCCTGGGGGCAGAGGGAGGGGGTCCTGGGGGGTGGAGCTGGAGGGGCCCTGCCAGCCCTGCCTGCCTCAGTTTCCCTTTCTGGCAGATTTGTTGGCAGGCCCCTCATCCTGCCCAGCTAGGGGCCACGTCCAGGCTCTGTGCAGGACAGCAGCAGGGACACGGGCCAGGGGACAAGTCTGCATTTCACGATGGCTGGAGCTCGTGGCTGCGCCCATACCTGGGGCACGCTGATGCAGAAAGTGCCCTTTGTGTGGCTCTGGGAGGCTCTCGGTGCTGGCGACAGGAGTCTGAGCCTGGGCGAGGGGCTGCTCACGTCTGGAGCCCCGCAGACGAGTGGAGGGGTGACTGTGGAGGCGAGGGCTAGGAGCTGCACCCAAGTGCCATGTCGTCCCAGATGGACACTGCAGTGGCGAGCTGGGGGCAGGCCGAGTGGCCTCGGTCCCTCTGTTTACACGGCTGAGCCCTCTTGGGCGCCCTAGCAAACACCACCCTGTCTGGACCCTTGGGGGCTCCCTCTCAGGGGAGCCCCCTCGGTGTGGTCGGCACTGTGTGTTCTTGTGCAGGTGTGGGAAGTGGACCCACCAGCGAGGGTCCTGGGGCTCCACAGGGCTGAAGGCCAGTCTGGCCAGGGCCCAGGTGGAGGGCACAACCCCTGGGCAGGGCTCGGGTGCAAGGATTTGGGGATTCCACCCCAAGTAAGCTCTGGAGAGGGTGGGGCATCTGCAGGGGAGCCACCCACGGGTGGGGACAGGAGCCCTCGCTGGTCTGCGGAGCCTCCCACACACATGCCCTCGCAGCCCCGTGCTCTCAGGGCTCCACTGGGGGCTGGCACCCCGTCCTTTGCAGAAGAGGGTAAGGACAGCAATGCCGCATTCCGAGTGTCTTGGGGATCGCTTCCAGGAGCCTCCTGAGGGCGATCGCCAGGGGCTCAGAGGAGGAGCAGCCCGCGCCCGAGCCCTGCAGGGTCCCACCGCTTTCAACCTGGGAATTCAGGGCCCTCGGGTACCGGGAAGCAGGCAGAACTTTCGCACACCTGAGCTGGAAGGTCTGGCGTCAAGACCTGGGTGTGCCCTCGCTCACTTGGTGGGAGGAAAGCGCGTGTGTCCACTTTCAAGAGTAAGAAGCACCTGCGGGGTTTGGGAGGTGCTGTGGGTGGGGCCGGGGTGGAGGTCCCTGGATCGGGGCCCTGCTCTCCTGGCCCTACACCTCCTCATGCAGTGACCCTCAGCCATCCCTCAGCACCCAGCGCCCAGTGCCCAGTGCAGGGAGAGCAGTCATGTGGGCTCTACTGGGTGTGAGGGACACAGAGGAGGCTCCCATTGGCCTAGGGAAGTCTAGGTGCTGCAGCTGGGGAGCAGGCCAGGGAGCCTGCAGGGCTGGAGTGCGTTCGTGCCTGTGAAGCAGGTGCATCCCCTCCACTTCTGGATCCACCCAGTCCTGCTCCAGGAGGGATGGCTCCACAGCACAGGAGCTGCTGTCTCAGCTGGCCAGGCCCACAGGCCCGCCTACAAACTCCAGCCCCGCCCCAGGCATTGGCCCTGCCCACAGGCCCCAGCCATTGGCAGACCTCCTGGTTGGGGGCTGTGTCACCTTTTCTATAGATCCGCTTTAGGCAGGCTCCTCTAGTCTTAAGGAAGTTAATTCTTGTCTAGTCTTAAGGGACAGTCATTCTGATAAAGGGGGCCCAGGAGATTCTCCGCAGGCTGTTTTGGGCAGGAGTGGCCTTGGGGTGCTGGGCAAAGAGGCCTCAGGGTCTGAAAGAAATCCCTGTCTGGTGTGGAGTGCTGGAGCCAGGTGAGGCAGGAGGGTCAGGGCCCAGCCGCCATGTCTGGGGGTCTGCTGCACATCCCTCCCACGCTGAAGTCTGAAATTCCACCTGGCCTCGTCTTCCCTCTCCAGGCTGCCCTTTGAAAATGCAAATCTGGTAACCCAACCTGTCCCCACACCCAGTGGATAGGCTATCGGCTCCTGTCCCCTGTCCTCCTGACCCCTCAGAAGCACCAGGGTGGGTAGGAGAAACTCAGACCCTGCTGGGATGGCCCACGCTGGCCAGCCGTGTCCTCCTCCTGCTCTTCACTTTGCCCCAGGTCAACGGGTCTGGTGGCGCTGGCGAGCAGCTTCCTCGGAGTGTCCAGAGCTTGCAGGAGAGGAGGGTACAGCACACACCTAGGGGTGCGGGGGGCACACGTGGGAGTGCAGGGGACACTGGAAGTGCAGGGACACACCTGGGGGTGTGGGGATATACTTGGGGGTGCGGGGACATACCTGGGGGTGCGAGGGTTCACGCCTGGGGGTGCAGGGACATATCTAGGAGTGCGGGCGCACACCTGGGGGTGTGGAACTCAGACTTGTGAGTGCAGGAAGTGTACCTGGGGGTGCGGGGACACACCTGGGGGTGTGGAACTCAGACTTGTGAGTGCAGGAAGTGTACCTGGGGGTGCGGGGACACACCTGGGGGTGTGGAACTCAGACTTGTGAGTGCAGGAAGTGTACCTGGGGGTGCGGGGACACACCTGGGGGTGTGGAACTCAGACTTGTGAGTGCAGGAAGTGTACCTGGGGGTGCGGGTGCACACCTGGGAGCTGGCCTTTTGTTGCTGCACAGACCAGGCCACTGGTTTGCCTCCTGGGGCCGCGTCCTGAATGAGTCAGGAGGGGCGGCAGGGGAGGCCGCAGGGCAGGTGGCTCACGCGGGCTGTGAGGGAGGCCGTGCAGCCTGCAGCCTCTCTAGTAACCCCGGCTGACACTTTATTGCCTTTTTGAGTCACACTCACATGTGGACCGACTGCTATTCAAGCAGCAGAAGTGGGTGTGCAGGGCAGGAGTGTGCCCAGCTTCGAGTCCGGCATGGCCCACAGACCCTGGTGCTCTCCACCTGCCACTCTGCCTGCCGCATCTTCCTCCCCCGGCGACATGGCTGACAGCAGGGCCATGTCCAGGCCCAGCGAGAACCTTGTCTGTTTGCTCAGTGGCACACACGGGCCGAGTCCTTCTGTCACTTTGTTTACAAAAGCTCTTACAGCTGGCCCTGTAGCCCAGTGGTCGTGGGGGCCAGCTCCCACATGGCCTTCGACAGTTTGAATCCAGTCCTGGGAACTGGAAATCATGCTGGGATGTGCGTGTGTGTATGAGCGCGTGAGTGCACGCGTGTCCCAAATCCAGACAGGATAGAGAAATGGAGAGAAAGGGACTGTGGTGTGACCATGTCCCATTGAGGGATGCTCTCTCTTGTCTCTTGTCTCTCTCTTTGGTGAGTACACACACTATGGCAATATAAATAAATCATTTTAAAATAAATACTTCTGAAAATATTTTATTAAGGTAATGCATGTTTGGGGCAAAACAGAAAAAGCCCAGGATCAGCCACCTGACGGAGGGTCCAGCATGCATCTCCTCCGCAGCTCCATGGTGCCCTCGTCTACTCTCTCTTGTCTCTTGTCTCTCTCTTTGGTGAGTACACACACTATGGCAATATAAATAAATCATTTTAAAATAAATACTTCTGAAAATATTTTATTAAGGTAATGCATGTTTGGGGCAAAACAGAAAAAGCCCAGGATCAGCCACCTGACGGAGGGTCCAGCATGCATCTCCTCCGCAGCTCCATGGTGCCCTCGTCCCAGACAGGGAGGTTTGCTGTCCCCCACCTTCCCCTCACAGCCTTCCCCCTGGCCCTGCGGGGTGTGCAGGCATGTCACTCGCTTGTCTGAGAACTGACTGAGCTCACGGGAAAGCCCTCGGCCCTGGGCCCAGGAGAAACAACAGCTCTGCAGGTGCGCGTGCTGTTTGCTTGATGGTGGAGCAGGTGGGGGCCACCGGGCTAAGGCCGGGTTCAGAGGTTTGTGCTTCCCCCTGAACCTGGCCCGCTCCTCCTGGCCTTCCCACTCACTGTCTGGCATCTTCCAGTTCCTGTCTTCCCAGACTCTCCTCCCAGCCCCTTCAGGTCTGGGTGCACCTCCCTACAGGGTGGGGCAGCTGTGGGGGCCTGTGTCCTTGACTGCCCACTGTCCTGAGGTGCCTGGACCTCTGGGAGTGCGGCCAGGCCCGTGCTCATGCCTATCTGCATACGCCCTCCTCCCACCGAGGGACGGTGGGGCTGGGTGGACGTTCCCGGCCACAAGCCCTTGCTCAGCACGTTCTAACATGGCTCCGTCGTCTCCTGGTGCCCAGGGCTGCAGACAGGCCGGCCTGGACCTCTCTCTCTGATGCACTGTGCAGGGAGGAGCCTGAACTGAGGGGGAGTCAGAGTGGTGGGAGTTGGGCAGTGTGGCCCAAAGGCCACACCCGGAATGTCCCCATCGGGACCACTCGGGGTGGCAGGTGCAATGAGATGCGCCACCCTGTCCGGTTCACTGGCCCCATGCTCCCGAACCCTCTTGCCAGCCTGGCCCTTACTCTCCACTTCCTGGGCTCCTGCTGCCACGGGGCCAGCACCTCTCAGGGCAGACAGCCTCCCCGGCTGCGCCCTGCCCACACTTGATCCGTCCCCTTGGCCCGGGCCCCACACAGACATCCTGGTGTCACCCCGCCCACCTGCAGGCGGCCGGGTGCTCTGAGAGGAGGAGAGGCCATAGCACAGCTGGTCTGGACCCCCTGAGTGCCCCAGGTATCCCCAGGCCCAGGCAAGAGGCTGGATCCTGGTGGGAAGAGGGGAGTAGGCTGGGGGTGGGGCCACTGTTGGCAAGACCTGGGCCCTCACAGCCCTGCCCTGGTTCTGTTTTGCTGCTGGTTAGACTGGTTGGAGGGTTCCCCGGGAGAGGTCTCCGGGAGGGTAGGGGACTATCTGCATCTGGCAGCAGACCGGTGTCTCTGGGGTGGCTGCCTCTGGGCAGTTGGCTCCAGGGCCAAGCAGGGCCTGCTGTGCTGCCTGGCGGTGGCCCGCAGGGTCACCTGTCCTGTCCCCAGGCCAGCAGGGAGTACCTGGGCAGCAAGGTGACCTTTTCCTCTTCCTCCCCCAGCGACATGGCCGACAGCAAGGCCAGGCCCAAGGCCACTGACCGGACGCCGCCCAAGTCCCCCGGGGACCCTGCAAGGGACAAATCAGCCAAGAGGCTGTCCTTGGAGTCGGAAGGTGCCAACGAAGGGGCGGCCGCAGCCCCCGAGCTCAGTGCCCTGGAGGAGGCCTTCCGGCGCTTCGCGGTGCACGGGGACACCAGGGCCACTGGGAAGGAGATGCATGGCAAGAACTGGTCCAAGCTATGCAAGGACTGCCAGGTGGTGGACGGCAAGAACGTGACCGTCACCGACGTGGACATCGTCTTCAGCAAAATCAAGTAGGTGGTCAGCGGGTGCACAGCGCCCGCCTTGAGGTCTCCTGTCCCCACCGTCCTGGTCTCTACGGGGCAGGGCCTGCGGCCTGCTGTGCCACAGACCCGAATGACACCCGTGGTGGGGGCGTGGCGCTGCGCAGTGGCTGGGACGGCCGAGTCCCATGGTCGTTCCAGGTCTGCAGCCGTGCAGGGCCTCGGCCTGAGCAGCTGTGGCCGTGCAGTGGCGACGGCTGCCCGAGTCCCTGCGCACGAGAGCTGGGGGGCACTGCTTCTGCCCAGCCTGGCCCTGCAGGGGCCACGCCATGAGCTGCCCTGGGCACGAGCCCCACCCTGCTCCCACGGCCTCCCTCTGACCCGCCCGGGCACACGCACTGGCAGGAAGGCCGGCCCGGTCAGCCCCGCGGTATTGCTGCCCAGCGGAGTGTGGGGCATGTTCCTTCTCGTGCGTGCACACACCTGTGGCTCTATCATGCGTGTGCACACGGGCACGTGTCCTTCCCTGGACATTGGAAGCCTGCTGAGGCGCCCATGCCCAGGTTCTTTGCTGAGCACCTCCTAGGCAGGACCCGGGCCCTCCCCTCAGGGTGCCCGAGGCCATCACCTCCCAGCCTGGTCGGCATTGCGGGAGAGCGCCTCGCCCGCACCGCATGCTGCCTGTCGGCCTCACCTCAAAGGCTCTTCCGCGCCCGGCCTCTCAACGCCTGGCCACTGGTCTTGGTGCCGTCTGCCCAAGCGTCACCCTGTCCCTTGGCTGGGGTGGGAGACCGGTCTGTGCGTCACCCTCTGCACTGAGGATAAGCTGTGGGGCCTTCCCTCCTCACAGACCCCCAGCCAGTGCCTCAGCCACGGCCCGAGTCCCTGCGCACGAGAGCTGGGGGGCACTGCTTCTGCCCAGCCTGGCCCTGCAGGGGCCACGCCATGAGCTGCCCTGGGCACGAGCCCCACCCTGCTCCCACGGCCTCCCTCTGACCCGCCCGGGCACACGCACTGGCAGGAAGGCCGGCCCGGTCAGCCCCGCGGTATTGCTGCCCAGCGGAGTGTGGGGCATGTTCCTTCTCGTGCGTGCACACACCTGTGGCTCTATCATGCGTGTGCACACGGGCACGTGTCCTTCCCTGGACATTGGAAGCCTGCTGAGGCGCCCATGCCCAGGTTCTTTGCTGAGCACCTCCTAGGCAGGACCCGGGCCCTCCCCTCAGGGTGCCCGAGGCCATCACCTCCCAGCCTGGTCGGCATTGCGGGAGAGCGCCTCGCCCGCACCGCATGCTGCCTGTCGGCCTCACCTCAAAGGCTCTTCCGCGCCCGGCCTCTCAACGCCTGGCCACTGGTCTTGGTGCCGTCTGCCCAAGCGTCACCCTGTCCCTTGGCTGGGGTGGGAGACCGGTCTGTGCGTCACCCTCTGCACTGAGGATAAGCTGTGGGGCCTTCCCTCCTCACAGACCCCCAGCCAGTGCCTCAGCCACGGTTGGGGCCCCCCACCCTGGGACTCCTCTTCACCTTCCTCCTCGGCAGCCTCGGCCCGCACCGCCCACCAGGGTAGTGCCTGTGTCACCAGGGAGTGTCATGGGGGCCCGTCAGGGGACAGGCTGGCTGCACCTTGATTCTTTCTGCTGCGTATCCAAACTGGGGGCTGCAGGGCCTTTGGGGACCAGGGAGCCGGGCCCCCAATAGTGTCCGTACCCAGCATGACGCACGCCCACCAGCCCCTGCTGCAGCTGCTGTCTGGGCTGATCTGGGCCTCGGAGTCCACGTCCCAGCCCCCTTCAGGGTGGTGACAGAGGGTCCCATGTGGACTGTGGGGACAGGCACTGCCGTGAGCCCTGGTTCGCTGGTGCTCGCTGTGTCCTCTGCTGAGTCCTGGGGACAGACAGCGTCTCTGCCTTGCTGGGAAAGCTCCCGTGACGCCAGTGGACAGGCCAGGGCAGCTCCAGTCAGGCCATGGTGAGTGAGGCTGCCCTGGTGAGCCAGCCAGCTGTGGACAGGTGGGACCCAGGTGACCAGGGCCAGCTCTGTCCTTGCCAGGTGCCCAGAGCTCGCTCAGCCAAGTGGGTGTGTCCCAGACACCTGACTGAGGGACTTGAGCAGTGGCAGGTGGGGCCCATGGCCTCATGGCCTCACTGTTGCCAGCACACACAGAGCCAGGCGGGTGGCTGCGCTCCCACCTTGACAGCAGACCCTGACCCCTCCTCTGACCCAGGCTGTGGTGGCAGCTCCTTTAGGCGGTTGTGGACACTTGGGACCTGGTGGTGGTCCCTGCCCTCTGTGGTCCAGGGTAGACAGGCAGACCCACGCAGGGGCACCTGGAGAGCTTTGCCCCTGGAGGAGTTCAGCGGGGCTGGCCAGGGCTGGTCACCCAGCAGGGTGGCCTGCAGTCCACATGTGGGGCCAGGGCATAGTTCCTCCTGCAGGAAGTTGCCTTGAGGCTCAGGGCACGCGCACATGCGCTCACATCACACAGAGCGAGCACTGCTGGCTAAGCAGGGCCGGTATGGCCGTGCTCGCGTCAGGTGGGGACACCCCACAAGCCCTGTGCAGGATCCCCTGGACCCTGACCTGCCCCGGGGAGACTGCTTGGAACCCCGCCTTGCCTCTCTGTGGGATCCCTGCTGGGGAGACCCCATGCTGTGTGGGAACGAGGGGTCTAGGCTCACACCCTGCCCTAGGGAGGGAGGGTGTGGAACCCGACAGGACTGTGGGGTCCTGCAGTCAGGGACCTCCAGGGATGGCCTTCAACTTTGGGAAGGCTGGCTCCAGGCACGGTGCCCGAGGAGGGCGTAGGGGTCGTCCCCATCTGCATGTGGCTGATGGCGACGCCCGTGGCCACCCCGTGCCCAGGCACTGGGGGAGCGGCGAGGAGGTTGCGCTAGGCAGACAGCGTGTCCTGCTCCGACAGGACCTGGTGGAGAAAGTCCAACTCTTTCTGTTTCGGGCGGGTTGCCATGGCGGCGCCAGCTGGGGTATCTGGAGCCTTTGTTTGGGGCCTGTCGCCATGGCAGTGCTTGTTTGTTGTGGTGTTACTATGTGTCAGGTTTTAAACAAGTTTCTTGTAGCTCTGCGTGGTTTGTGGGGGGACTGTTACCCGAAGGCTCCCCTCCTGCCCAGAGCCGAGCAGGGCCGTTTTAAATACTGATTGAGGCTTGGGCCGGCGGGAGGCTGTGGACAGCATGCCGTGTATGCCCCTGTGAGCATGTCTGGGTATATCTGCGTGTCCCTGAGTCTGCATGCATGTCTGCCTGTGTGCACATGCGAGTGTGTGTGTGCATGTGGGAGTGGTCGGGGTGCCTTGGCGTCCCTTGGCCTCAGGCTCTGACCCACTGCCTGCCCCCCAGCCCTCTGCCCAGCCCAGCCAGGTGTCCATACTGGCCATGTCTCCCGAGGAAGGGCTGGTGGCCGGATGGTCTCCAGACCCAGGAGGAAGCATGGTCCGCCCTGCAGGGTGTGGGCAGGGCCCACTCGCAGGGTGTGATGAGAGGTGCCGTTGAGGACGCTGGGTTCAGAAGCCGCCCTCCAGCCTCCCAGGCCTGACCCTGGACAAAGTGCACTGGGGGCAGCCGTGGAGGGACAGGAACCTCAGAGCTCTGAGCCTGGAAAGGCTGCCTGCCTGGCTCAGGTGCTCCAGGCCAACACATTTCCCCACGGAGGGGAGACCTGCAGCTGCAGAGCCCTGGAGGCTGGTTCTGTCTCTGCACGGCCCTCTAGTGGCGGCCTGCAGAAGTGCAGGGCTGAGGAGACCCTGCCCAAGTGGGCACAAACGGGGACATTTCCACCCGCTGTGGTGGTGGCAGGGGTTCAGGAATGGTATCTGGTTTCCTGAGATGAAAAGAGAAGCCCTCGGTACCAGCAGTTGGTGTAATGGCTATGTTGCTGGACTCCCATGTAGTCGACCACGGTTTGAGTCCCGGGCCCAGTGGCTTAAACTTACCCCAGGTGTGTGTGTGTGTGTGTGCCCAAGATCCTGAGAGGAGAATGGAGGAGAAGGGATTGTGGTGTAGCCATTCCCCCGG